TCACTGTTTCCCGTGGTGCTCGGTGTACTCACCGCGCTGACGTCTTTGACACCGTGGCACCGCAAGACAGTTAAGTGAGGCAGAGAAGGTGAAAATAAAGGACAGGGTGACTGCTTCTTAGTTTGTTTTTTCTCTGCGCACCACAAGATGTGCGTCCATTCAGTCTCTTTGCATTTGTTAATTTAGTGATGGCCACCTTCTTCGATGCGAGGTCAAGTCAGGTCATGTTTGGCAGCTCTCACGTTATGAGACTGAGTGTGGAGTAGCAGCACGCAGGAAGTGTTGTGGAATTAAGGGGTTTTATGTTTTTTTTTATTCTTCTCTCGGTTGGGTGTGAGGGGAGGGTCCACAGCTTTATTTCAGTCGTCCTTCCTTCAAGGGAGCATCGCTATTGGTTAATGCAATTTTGAATTGCAGCCTGTTGTGTCTGACTTTTAAATGTGATGGCCTTGAACAATATATTAGATTATTTCCATGTTATAAAATATAAAGTGAGGTGTTTTGCTTTCACAAAGCAAAGTTGAGGCTTCAAAAACAATATTCTGCAAACCAACAGGTGGTTTTTCTATACAGGCGAGGATCTCTGCTATGTTTCACTGTAATAAGTGTGCCTCACAGTGATTATGGATACATAAAGAGTTTGTGGATTTGTATAAAACTGCTTCGTGGGGTGTTTGTTTCTCTCTCCACAGGATACCATTACATGGACGTGGAAAGGTCCCGGAGCGTGAGTGTTTCTTTCTCTCACACACCTTTGCAGTCACTGTGGGAATACGCTGGGGATATGTCTGCGAGGCTGTGTGTCCAGGACACTTTTGTTCCATCAGGGAGCGTAAAAAAGCACAGCATGCAACAAAAACACACCAAAAAAGGGACCAGGTGCTGGTTTTTTTTTTGTTTTTTTTCAGCCGACCAGAGCAGAGAGGTGCATGTGTAGTGGGCTGGTTAAAAGCAAACATCGTCGTCGGGTGTGATCGACTCCAGCGCATTCCCAGGGTTACATAGAATATACACGAAACAACAACATGCACAGTCTCCCACTCTGTGTTATTAAAGTTAAAAGCTGTTTGTTTCCATCAGGGTGTAGATGAAGCTGTTCTGTCTTCCAGGTTTCACATTTTGTGGCTCACTCTGTGTCAGCCTCATAACTCCATTGAGATTGAGGTGAGCGGTTTCGTATGACAGAAGTCAGCAAACTGACTTATTGCAATTCAGCATTTATTATGTTGCCGAGCAGCATGATCAGTGTCACAACGACAAGTCTGAGTTGAACTCTCTCTTTAGTACTTGCCTGTTTACAGTCCATCGAACGAGGAGAAAGAAAACCCCGCGCTGTTCGCCAGCAACGTCAGAAAGCTCATGGCCAAGTAAGTGTGCGATGATCAACGCACGCTTGCTTTGGATGTTCTTGACTCAAAACTTTCTCTCTGTCCTCGTAGGGCGTTGGACCTGCCGCTCAAAGACCTGTCCTTTGATGACATTGAGATCAGCCTATCGCGCGGCCCTCTGGGCATATATGATTATCGCAGCCTCCTAGAGTTCAACCAGCTAATATGTCGTTTAGGGTAAGTGGTGGGAGACTGGAACGACTAGTTAAACT